TAAGTTTGGAATGAATTTTTGATTTTTTACGAAAATTTGCACAAAAAGTAGAGAGAAAAATGAATTTTTGACTTTTTGATATAGATTATTGACTTTTTAATTTTTTTAGTAATTTTTTAACTTTTAAACTAAAACAATGACTTACTAAACGAGGTCTAAATATAAATTGAGAGTAATGTTACGTATCATGAAAATGATCATGAAAGATTCTCTACCGTTAGATTACACATGCAAGAAAACACCACATACTAATCAAGGGATGAAAAATCTTTATGAAACATTTCATAATATTTTTTTTATGATCCGTAGTATTATTCATAAATTGAACACTAAAATAAAGATAACGATATTCAATACAAAACAAGGGGCAATTTATTCACAACTGGAAATATGGATGATATCTACATCATTTTTCTTCTCAATTTTCTTGTCTTTTGAGTAGAAGAAGATGTCCATACCGTACCCATTAAATAAAACCCTAGAGGAGCATTTTCAAACATGGAAAACAAAAACAAAAAACAAGAAGAAAAAAATCACTGAACACCACACGGTACCCAAGGGCTTGATCAATGAAACTGAGTCGCTGTTGTAGGGAAGAGTGCTGTAAGGCACCGGAGGCGGAAATTGGCAACACTGAACCACCGGAACTGGCGTGCAGTTGCCTAAAACAGTGGCTTCTGGTGGCGGTGGCGGTGATGATAGTGGTGGTGGAGCATCATATGATTGGTATCCTCCTGACGGCGGCCGTGGAGGCTGGGGGTGACATGGGTATTGACAGATGGAACAGTTTGAGCAAGGATTAGGTGCATAGATGCCACCACCACCATAAACAACACCCTGTGTCTGTGCACAGCAGATATCAGAGAAAAACAAGAACCAAAGTGCTAGAAGAAAGAACATGAGGCTTGTTGAAGACATGTTGATTCTACTCATCTGAATGATTGATAGAGTAGGAGGAGGAACAAAGGGATTGATGAAGAGGTGAGCATGCTTAGCTGCTTATTGTACAACTTTATATGCATGTTTGTTTGTTTTGTTTCATCTTTTTCATCTGAAATTCTGGTACGAATGCCACATTGCAAGTAATGTGGCGCAATGTGGCAGTCCAAACAGGAGCCGTGAGGTTTGACTTTATTTGCATGAATTATATCCCCCACTTATAGACAAAAACTAGGATTGAGCCAAAAAAAAAAAAAAAAAAAAAAACGACAATATAAATAGTTCACGGATTTTAAATCACGTTTTTGGTTTGAATCGAATCAAATTAAACGAATTTTACATATACGCATATATAAATATAACTTATTGGACAGATTTTACATATGCACATATATAACTTATTTATCATATATTTGGAGTAAGCGATTAGAATTCTAATAATATATATCTCAAATTAACCCAGGGGGTGGCAATTTGGTAAGGGCTTGGGGTTTAAGTCCCTAGGTCCAGGGTTCAATTTTCCTCTAGGCCAATCTCCTGGGCGTAGCACAGTTGGTTAGGAGGTTGACCTCAAGGATGCCTTATCAGCTACTTGGTGTGGGTTTAATTCTCTCCCGCTGTGCGAGTCCTGACTTAAGCGGAGCTTGCCTTGGGAGGTCGGGACAAGCTTCCAGGTTATAGTCTCTTGCTCGGAACGAACAACAGGGCACCCTGGTGATCTCCTCAATTCTCTCCCGCTGTGCAAGTCCTGACTTAAGCGGAGCTTGCCTTGGGAGGTCGGGACAAGCTTCCAGGTTATAGTCTCTTGCTCGGAACGAACAACAGGACACCCTGGTGATCTCCTCAAGGGGTGCTGCCTTGGACCTGCGGGAGAGTGGGAGGATTTTCCTGTAACCAAAAAAATATATATATATATATATATCTCAAATTTCGTTAGTCTCCCAATGGTTACTTGACAATGCTCTTGTGTATGAGCAAGACACGTTAATTGTTTGTGTGTGGATAATTTTCTTACCACACTGCCCATCTAGTAATCAGCTGGAGAGCACCGACAGAATAGATGGCTTTAGTAACCTGTAACAGAAATATAAGAATCCCGCGGTGGTTTCGACCACCCGGAGGCACTCCGACGATCAAGTCAGTATATCTCTCAAAGATAAATCAAGTACTAAACTCACAAGCTTGAGTATTGAAAGCATACCTTAGACCCATGGGGGTGCCTCTCTTTTATAGCCAATCCAATCCTAGTCCCAATAGGAACCTAGCCCTAATGGACTTAGGATTACTGCTAATCTGGGACTCCCAGTAGGATAAGGATAAACTCTCTAAGAGTCTTATCTTTACCCAAACTGAAATCTTCTCCCAATCTAGGACTCTTGTCCATATCCAAGTTGAGTTCCCTCTTCATTTTAGGACTCTTGTCCCTTATCCGCTTATCTCGGATTCCGATATCTTCGGAGGCAACCTCGGCCTAGCCGAGATGACCTCGGCGTCACGACCAGGACACGTGGCACCTCGGCTGACACGTCGGCGTCACCGAACCTATATCGATATATTTTTCTGCATAGTGGCTAAAAAACTGTTTGGCCGAGATAATTCATTTTCAAGCCGATGTGTTCTCTTCGGAGAACAAGAATTCAAATGAACTCCACCACGCGCATGAGCTGTCATGCACATCTAACCGTTCCTTTCACGTGCTTTGTCTTTATTGGCCCGTGTCTGTGACGCGCCTGAAAGCTGTCTTTCACTCGTCTGCGCCGTCTGACGTGTGCGTTGCTCCAGGCGTAATAAATGCCCTGCTTTTGCTGCCGTTTCAAGTTTTTTGATAAAACTTTTCTTTCCCTCTTCCTTTCTCCACTTTTTGCATTTTGATTTCTTGCTTTTTCTCTCTCTAAAAGCTCTAGCATTCTTCGAATCTGCCATTACTCTAAGCCCCAAACTCTGCGACCATCCTTATTCTTCCATTCCGGCGAAGCTTTCGCCACTGTTACAACTGTCGTCTGATCTCGGCGAATATCGCTCCGGCTTCATTTTATCTGGTAAGCAACTGGCCCCCCTTACCTTCTTTCTCTAATTCTTGATTGTTTCTGAAGTTTCTTGCTATTACTGTTCTTCTTAGGCATTATTTGTGAATCATTCACCTGAATGCGTCTTATTTCATGATTTTTCACATGCCATGAACACTTTGCACTGTTTCACCACTGTTCTTGGCCCTTAACCCTTTGTATTCTTCATGTTCTTGATAGCCCATCCCTGTTCTTGTTTCTGAAACTTCGCTTTTGTTCTCTGTTTTTTTGTGTCTTTACCAGATCTGTGCCCTCGATCTTCGTCTTTATAGTTTTAGGTTTGGGATTTGTCTATAGAACCTTCAATCTTTAGGAAAAACTGAAACAAACCTTACCAGTCCTTACCCATGTTTTGAAACCGAGGTTCTAGCAACCTTTCTGAAACACCTATCTTTTGAAACACAGCTTTCTTTGTTTAGGCCGACATAATGGGTATGTGGAGACACCGGGTAAACACCCCAACTAAACTTGAATTTTTTAGGCAAGAATTCTTCATTCCTGCCGATGTCCACCTGAGGCTGGCTGAAGATAATGACTCTATCATGCCCACGGATAATTCAATGCCCTTTCCTATAGTAGCTTTTACTGAGTGCGGACTCCGGCTTCCACTCAATCTCCTTTTTCGTGAGGTTCTCCACTTCTATAAGTTGAACCCCATGCAACTTACCATCAACTCCTATCGAGTGATTAATGGTATCATAGCCCTAACTAGGCAGGAAAATGTTAGGATTACCCTTGCCGATGTACAATATTGTTATACCATGTGCCCCCTTAACCTGAAGGAAAGAGGTTACGTTTACTACCTCAAACCGAGGTCCACTGAATTCAAAATTGTAGCCGACCTCCCGGACTCCAACAAGGGAGCCGGAGATGACTTTGTCATTGCTTCGGGAAATTGGGAATTTGGTCCAGACGAAGATGTTGACCTCTACCCTCTTCCTCGAACAGTTAAAGAGGACAAGGGTAAGAGCCCAGCGTCAATACTTAGTTATTTCTTTTCCAAGTCTTCAAAACTTTGTCTGTTTCTAATGTCTGTTTGTTTGTCCTGCAGATCTTCATCAACCACCAAAAAACTTTCGCCAATCGTACTTCCCAGGAAAAGATTTAAAGAAGCTCTTTGATCTTCCAATCTACAAGCGCAAGGCTCCCCTATTACTGAATTTTATTCCGACATACAAATCCACACTACCCGACGTCCCAAAAAGGAAGAAAAAGAGTCTTTCTCCACCTTCTGCCATAACTCCTCCCATTGCTTCCACATCACGAGTAGACGAAGGATCCGCTTCTGACCTAGTCGATCTGCCATCTACTTCAGCCCCATACTTAGTCCCAATACCAGAAAGAAAACGTCGGCATCGACTTGTCAAGACTGCTGAGATGGGTCACCCGAAGCCTATTGTTGTAGATCTTTTAGCCGACTTACCTGCCGATGTTGATGCTGTTCCAGCTCAATCCATGCCCCCATCAAAGCCCAAAAGAATCAAAAAGGCTCAGCTCAAGGCCAAAGCCGCTGAGGTTGAGGCTGAGGATGCTCTGCCCATCTCTCAATTGGCCGAGAATAGAAAGAGTACCTCTACTTCTGCCAAGAGGTCTGCTGAGGCCCAACCATCAGGATCCACTCAATCAAGGAAGCCGAGGTCATCGTCTGCGACGACCTCGGGTTCCAAGAAACCCGATATCCCCTGGGCCCCAAAGTTGACTTTGGAGGATAGGCCAATTATGTCAACTGAGAGTGCCGACGACATTAATGTCGGTGTCGCCCTCAGTACTGCTCTTCTTCTTCCAAGCGATCTGGAGCGAAATGCTGGGTACAGCGAGTATGAAAACTACGCGCTAATGCTCCAGCACTCTGTTCAAGTAAGTGTTTCCTGTTTTGACTTTTCTTTCTGCTTCATACTTAGAAGATTTTCTAACACTTCTGTTTTCTTTCAGGCCATCTAGCACGCCCATTTGTTTTCAATGCAATCTTTTGAAAATCGGCAAAGATTGGTCGACATGAAGAGGGAGGTTTCTGCCCTCAAAAAGGAGAACAAAGCTATTCTGACAAAGATGAAAAAGCTGGAAGATCAGGCCGAGGCTGCCACTAAGGCCCAACAGATGGCCGAAGAAAAAGCAGAGTCTACTGAAGCCATCAAAAAAGTTACCGAGGCCGAGAAGAAAGATGCCGAGGTAAAAAAGGCTCAAGCCGAAAAAGAGCTCGAGCAGGCCCTGGCCACTAAAAACGCCGAAATTACTGAAGCCGATGAAAAAGCTTACGCCCAAGGAATGGCCGATGTTGCTGAGGACTACAAACTGCAAGTTAGGCAGGCATGCAACAGGGGCTTTTCCCTTGGTTGGATGTCCTTGGCCAAAAAGCTCAATGTTACTGAAGATTCTCCTCTGCACAAGGCTGAAGCTATTCCTCTCCCATTCCCTCCTCCTGCTCCATCTTCTAGTCAAGCTGAAAATGAGGCAGAATCTGAGGCTAAGGATGAAGATAATAATGAAGATGAGGCCTTGGTGAGGAAATCCAAGGATGCTACTGAGGCCAAGTCCCCTCCTTCAACTGAGCAAGTCATGGACTTAACTTTGGATGAAGAGGGTGATGAGGTTGGGGAGGCGCCTAGGGAAGCTGTTACAGGGATATTATCATCCGACCTCCTTTTAGCTGAAAGAAGTCTTTACAAAACGCTTGCAGAGATTGATGCCGAGCTTGAAGCAGAAAAGATTGCCAATGAGGTTCCACCAGAATCTTCCGAGGTCCCAGCGCCTCCAGCTGTTAATGCTAAAGAATCCTGATTTGAATGTCTTTATTTCCTTACCTTTTTTATACTCTGTTTTGTTTTCTGAACAATGTAAACTTCCTTTTATGGCCGGTGTGCCTTCCTTTGTATATAACTGCAATTGTTTTTTTTATTTATTTTATTTTTTTTTATGGATGCTTCAATCTTTTAATTTCTCTTTGATTTGCTTCTGCATGGTTATATGCCTTCTATATTTTGCCACCTTTGTGCAATCTCCTCGGGGTTACATACCTCGGGTACAACAACATCAAACTTTACTTCGACAAGATACAGACCTAAAAACTCTTGATAAATTCCAACAAATGTTTAACATATACTATTCAATATTAACTTTGCAAGTTTCTTCTCAAGTTTCAACAAGTATGTAAACAGTGATCTCGGTTTAACCTACTTGTAAATTGTTACAAATTTCAACAAGTGTTAACATATACGGTAAACTGTTCTCAAGTTATAACAAGTGTTAAATAATGGTCTACTTGTAAATTGCTGCAAATTTCAACAAGTGTTTGAACAATATACTTAGTTTTTACTTCAACCTGTAAATTGCTGTAAATTTCGATGGATAATCACATGTCGGCTTAACATTATCTTGTAAATCGTTACAAATTTCAACAAGTGTTAAGCATCTTTTTTGGTTTGGATCAACCTGTAGATTGCTATAAGTTGCAAACTATAACCTCGGCTTCACTTCGACTTGTAAATTGCTGCAAATTTCAACTAGTGAAGAGAAACAGTAATCTCGGCTTATCTTCAACTTGTAAATTGCTACAAATTTCAACAAGTGAAGATAAGGAATCTTAACTCCAACTTGTAAATTGCTACAAATTTCAATAAGCGAAGATAAGGAATCAGCTTGACTCCAACTTGTAAATTGCTACAAATTTCAACAAGTGAAGACAAGGAATCAGCTTGACTCCAACTTGTAAATTGCTACAAATTTCAACAAGTGAAGACAAGGAATCAGTTTGACTCCAACTTGTAAATTGCTACAAATTTCAACAAGTGAAGACAAGGAATCAGCTTAACTTCAACTTGTAAATTGCTACAAATTTCAACAAATGAAGATAAGGAATCAGCTTGGCTTAACTTCGATTAAGCATTATCTCGGTTTAATTTCTGTTTAAACATTATCTTGGTTTAACCAACTTGTAAATTGCTATAAATTTCAACAAGTGGTAAACGCATTCTTCTTCTTCCTGCCCCCAATGTGAACCTGAGTTTTACTTGGGTTTTCAATATTAATGTCTCCAAAAACATCAGTATGTAATTTTATCAGTCATATGTGTTGAAAGAATTCTTGAAAAAACTTTATCAAAGACATCGGCAAAAAATACTGCACATCTAATGATAGAAGAATTTCAAATTACAAATGTTCCAAGGTCTTGCCAGTGCTTTGCCCTCGTTATTGTCACGACCCAAACCCGGCCCTATGGGTTTAGCACCGTAACCGGCCAGTAATCCGAGATTACCGAAGGCCTGCAGAACAGTAATACAGTAAAACAGAGTACAGGGCCTGGCGGAAGCCAATACAGTAAATAAATAGTGTCCATTGAGCTGTGACAGTCTGTATGCAAAAAGGCTTTTCATACATTATTTAAATAAACAGAGAAAGTTCTGCATCTGGGATTTGATCTTGGGACTGGAACCTAAAGGGGCATAATTCTACATATCATGCTTTGTATCCTAGGGCATGGACAGTATATGAAGGTGAACCTGATCCATATCTTAGGATAGTTGGTCGTCAGATTTCTCCAATTATCCCCCATAATTATAAGTAGAGCAGTTTCCTTGTAGCAGTTTTTACTTTCACGGTAGGAAAGTGGTTTTGCTGAAAATTCTAGTTTGTACCTTTCCAGTCAACCGTTTTATGGTTATGGTGAATTTCCATAACCCAAATGTTGAAAGTATTATTGGGACATTGAAGGTTTCAGACATCTCGGGATGATGGCTTTTTGGCCAAAATGTGTAGTGTGTATTGTCAAGAAGAGTGATATAACCCACAATGAAGTAACTTGAATAATCAGATTCACATCAGAATAAGAAGGTGAAGTTCTTCCTCGATTAATTTTAATCGGTTACACACACCTCTCTTCTCTTCCCTTTATTTATTTCTCCACTGAAACATCACACCACATCACACAACACAAAACAAAACCGAAATCGAAAAATTCAAACGTTACAGAGCCGCCACAGAGAGAGAAATGTCTTGTACCGTTGCAATCTCGATTCTTCTCATATGGCTTTAATTAGCGGGAAGCGTAAGCAATGACTTTGTTGTTCTACATCAAAACACACTCTAATCCTTTGTGAGACACATCACTATAGATAACAAATCCCTCTATACTTGATGGTATGACAAGAACTGGCACTATGATATCCTCATCTAAATGTCTTAAACTAGGCCTAAGAATGCCTAGGATGGGATGAGGATGCAAAAATACACTTAGAAAACATTTCGCAAACTTTGCTGAAAATAGGGTCTTCGCTCGAGCGAGACTTTCTCCGCTCGAGCGTAAGTCCAAAATCAAAGGCTTTGCTCGAGCGAGGAATCCTTCGCTCGAGCGGTCTACAAAACAGTAAAAGTACTGGATGCTGAGTTTTTACGCGCGATGGTCGCTCGATGGTCGCTCGAGCGGAGCCCTGGACAAAGGTGCTCGCTCGAGCGGGGAACCCTTCGCTCGAGCGAGGAAGCCAAATCTGGAATTTCCAGATTTGCCTCCCAAGCTCAAACCAAGCATTCAACCACTCCAAACTCGACCTCTTGGGCCCAAATTCTGGAAAACATAACTAAATTCAATGTATAACAAGTTTCAAAGCTCAATTTATGAATTCAAGCCCCAAAGGTGAGTCAATCAAAACCATATTCAAACCCATTTTCAAGAATATGAAGAACATGCAAACATGCAAGGATTTAAACCAAATTAAAGCTCCAAAGCTTGTTCAAATGAGCTCATTTCTTCAAAACCAGATGAAAACATGGTCTATAACAACAATATGAGCATGTATGTACTAATGTCCATGTAACCAACCTCAAAATGCAACAATACTAACATGCATGCAAGAGATGAGCTTCAATCCAACATGTATGCACCAAAACATGGCTTAACTCTACAATTAAAGCATGAATTGTGCAAGAATGGATTCTAAGACAACAACAAGAAGATGGATGTCCTACCTTAGTCTTGTGTTCAAGGTCTAGGAGTTCAAAGTAGCAATCAACACTTCAACAATTCTTCAATTAGCAAGCAAACCCAAGATGGAAGACAAGTTCTCTCACTCTCTCCCTCCCAAGGTCGGCTAGGCTCAAGAGAAATGGCTGATGGAAATGTTTTGAGTCAAGTATGCAAGGCTCTAGCATCACTAGGTAATGTGCCACTAAGGGTGGCAATATGGTAAATAAACCAAACTCTTTAATTAGCTTATTTTAATCTAATTTAATCATACCTAATCAATTTTCAGATAATTATACTACAAAATCACATAAATTATGAGGGTCACGGAACATCAATCGGTTTCTAATTCGGCCGCCGATAAGGCCTTCAATTAGCAGTTTAAACATATAAACATGAACAGATAATCAGACAATCAAACAGATAGAATGCAATTAACTAACATATACTCAGTCAATTCAGTCTCAATTTCAGTCAGTCAGTTCAGTATTTCATTCAGTTCGATTATCAGTCAGTTATCAGTTATTATCAGTTTCGTTTAGCAGTAATCGGTGATTATCGGTAATCAATCAGTCCCTAATCAGTAAACAGTATGAGGGTTGTTACAGTTATCTTCAAGTCGATAGGCTCCATTGCCTAATATCGAAGTAATTCTGTAGGGTCTTTCCCAGTTTGGGCCAAGCTTGCCTTCTCTGGGATCTTTCTTGTTGCCGACGACTTTTCTCAGGACTAGGTCGCCGACTTGAAAATCTCTTGGATTGACCTTTTTGTTATAAGCTCTAGCAAGCTGTTGCGGTATACTGCTAGTTGAATTGCAGCCTTTTCTTTTCGTTCTTCCAAAAGGTCCAGATCTCGGGCTAAAAGTATGTCGTTAGTGCCATTCTCTACTCCTTGGGTCTTGATCCCTGGGATGCCGATCTCCAATGGGATGACAGCTTCTGTGCCATAAGCCATGGCAAAGGGGGATTCCCCAGTTGATCTTCTCGGCGTAGTCCGATATGCCCAAAGCACGTTAGGTAATTCGTTTACCCACTTTCCTTTTGCTGCCTGCAGCCTTTTCTTTATTCCATCCAAAATCACTTTGTTGGATGCTTCTGCTTGACCATTACTTTGAGGAAAACTTTGTGTTGAAAAGTAGTTCTTGATCTTGAATTTGGCATAAAAGTTCTTGATGAGTTTGCTGTCAAACTGTGTTCTGTTGTCAGTAACTATTGCTCTTGGAATGCCAAATCTGGTGATGATGTTTCTCCATATAAAGTTCTTGACGTCCACATCTCGGATTTTGGCAAGAGGTTCTGCCTCTATCCATTTGGTAAAGTAATCTGTTGCCACCAGCAGGTATTTTCTCTGCCCAATTGCCTGGGGAAGTTGCCCGACAAGATTCATGCCCCATTAGGCAAACGGCCAAGGGCTAGATACTGGGTTCAGTTCAGCAGCTAGCTGATGTATTAAAGGTGCAAACCTTTGGCATTGTTCACACTTCTTCACGTAGGCTTCAGCATCCTTTTGCATATAGGGCCACTAATACCCCTGAGTAATGGCCCTGTGAGCTAATGATCTGCCCCTACCGTGGCTTCCACAAATTCCTTCATGAATTTCATATAGGAAATCTTCAACCTGCAAAGGGTGTACGCACCTTAAAAAGGGTCCAGTGAAGGACCTTCTGTAAAGATGTCCATCTTCTGTCAGACAGAATCTTGCAGATTTCAATCTGACTTTGTGTGCCTCCTTACGATCTTCTGGCAACTTTCCTTCTTTCAGGAATGTAACAATTGCATCCATCCAGCTTGGCCCCATGTCCACACACATTGCTTGCTGCTCTGTG